GAGAGAGAGTGAGAGAGAGAGAGAGAGAGAGAGAGAGAGAGAGAGAGAGAGAGAGAGAGAGACTGTCTGAGACTCTCTGGACTATAGCCAGAGTTCTTTTTCATGCTTACACAATCCTTTCACACTTCAATAAGGCCCTGAGGTCTGTGAGGCCAAATTTTTCTGAGGTGCTCCTGCCTATGAAAGCCCTTTTAAAAATGCACCAGCGAGAGGAGGATTATCATTAAAATACTTTTTTCTGTTATTATAAACCCAAAGGAAAAGCCCCAATAAAAAACTCCAAAGGTAGAGGTATGGTTTGGATCCTCATTAACTGCATAGCCCGGTTCTTTACACTGTATAATGTCCCATCCAGGCAGCCCAATGTACTTATAAAACTTGGTTTGTGTGTGGGAGCTTGATTATTAGAAACATGTTTCAGGGCATTCCATCCCTTGCTGACTCCTGGCTGTATCTCAGACTCTAACCTCCTCCATCTGTCAGCATGAATGTGTTTTTAAATACTCTCTGTCAACAACTGCTGCAAGCTGTGTTAGCTGTATGTTCTTGTTTTCGGTATTATTCATCTCTGGTATTTGGTGTGCCTTGTGGACCGAGAGAGTCACGCCTCCCAGTGTAAACTCATTCCTGGAGATAACCTGCCTGCCTGTCTTTGATATGCCTCCGTGATGAAAGCGTATTCTACCCATTAGCAGGGTAGGGTTCCGACTCCATGCTTTTAAAACACTAATCCTTGTGTTTCATGAGGAGCCTTTGACCACTTCTTGGGCTCCACTGGCATCACAGATCACCCTCCTCTGTGAGTCACTTGACCTTGGGCATCTGGGATGCCATTTCTTTTCTCGGTACTGGAGATCAGATCCCCAGGACCTCATGGGTTCTAGACAGGTCCTCTACTTAGGATCCATACCTAAGACAACTGTCTCATCCTCAAATCTCTTGTCCAGGAAAAAGGAGGGAGGACACTGTGGTTTTGTCTTTGATTTTTGTCCAGATGAATGTATCCCTCCATTCACAATAAGACAAAATGTGAGCTGTCCATCACTGGTCAAACACTAAGTAAATCAACATGAAGGAGGGAAAATTGATTTGGGTTCTTGGTTATTGATCTTCTCATATAGTTTTATATTGATGTTTACTTTTTTTCATGTGTGCATAGGGACTGGGGGTGCACACATGTCATGTGCACACATGCAGGTCGGAGAACAACTGTAGGGACTCTGTTCTCTATTTCCACCAAGTGGTTCAGGGACTGAAGGTGACTGAACTGGGGTTAGGGTAGAAGTTCTGTCAGATCAGTATTTTTCCATTTGTATCTGTCAGGATCCAGCTGGAATCACTAGGTTCACACAAAGGATTTAGCTTGAGAGGGTTGAATAGATGAAATATTTTTAGAGGGGCAAACAAACTTTAAAGCAACCCAGCAAGACTGATGATAACCAAGAAGAGGCAACTGCAGGAAGTGAAGGCCTGTGGAGGCAAGGGGTCATGGTGGTGCTGCAGACCTCCCATGAGAACCACAGCTACCAAAAAGAGCTTACCAGAAAGTTCCAACCAAAGAGAGAAAGAAGAAAACGGACCCAACAAGGAGACGCAGTGAGAATATAGATCAACTCATTCACCTTCTTCCCCACCTTTAACCTGTCAGCAGCATCCATCCATTACACACGGGAAGCCACCGGACAAGGAAAGCTACAGGCCAGAGGTTCTCAACCTGCAGGTTGACCCTTTCTCAGGGGTCACTTAAAACCAACCAAAAACATGGCTACTTACACTACAATCCATAATAGTAGCAAAGTTGCAGTTACAAAGTAACAACGGAAATAATTTTAGGATTAGGGGGTCACCATAACTTGAGGAACTGTATAAAAGGGTTTTATACATTAGGAAGGTTGAGAACCACTGTTGTAGGCTAAAGCCTCCTGGACACAGGCAAGGCCAACAGTGGAAAACAGGAGAGCAAACGAATACCAATCAATACAGTCGGACAGATGGACATGTAAAAATATGGTCTACTTACTCCCAGAGTAAACCATGTTTACTATTTTTGGTTGAGAATATAGACTTACTATCCTTCTTACACACTAGAAGAAACATGCCACCATGCTAGGCCCTCCTGTGCTCTGCTCTGTGTCCTGGAGAGCTGACCTGCAAGAGCCACATTATAGCCCCTGGCTTCTGATTAGGTTCTGCCTTGCCACTGTGAGACCCCTGCAGGAGACGGGCAGGGAAGGTAACAGTGGAAGTTACCCTCTGTCCAGTGTTTTCCTTTGAGCCACCCCACCCCCACCCCTGCAAGCTGGTTGTCCTCTCCAGTTTTCTCTCTGGACTCAAGGAACCCTCTCTGCTGTAGGGTTGGGACAGTGTTAAAACTCTGCCCACCAATGTAAAGAGTCCTGTTCAGTACTGAATTACCCAATTTGAATATGCTGTCCAATCTCTGTAGAGACCCTGACAGACACATTCATCTCCCAACACAATGCCCTGCCTTTCATTGGCTCAATCTCCTTACCAAAGGAAAAATAACTGCATGGCTACAGGCCACAGACTCAAAACTCTTACCAGGGCCTTGACACCCCACTTCCTTGGTCTAAAATCTTTCATTTTAAACCACACCCAAGTTATCACACTTAGTGACAACTGCCTTTACCTACTGAACTAGCCCTCAAAACCTAGCTTTGAAAAAACCATTCCTTGATGAGCACACCCACACGCACATGCATGTTCTCATATATGCACATTCAAACACACAGGTGTATGTGCACACACAGAGGCACACTCTCGTGCACGCACGCGCGAGCGCGCACACACACACACACACACTCACACACAACCTTCCCTGTATTTTGTTTAAGGTCTCCAAGGGCTAGAGGGAGCATTTCCAAATGCAGTGGTATCCACCGCCTTTTCCTTTGATAGTAATGCTTTAACACTAACAATATCCTTGTCCCACCTAGAAGGGCAAGTTTAATGGCAAAGGGCAGGAAGCCTGCCTGCCTTCCCTGGCTCAAAAGCAAGCTGCAGGTGGCTTATATTCTGTTATTTGTCTTTCCCAGCCGTTGTTGTTGTTGTTGTTGTTGTTGTTGTTGTTGTTGAGATCGGGAAGCATGTATCATCTCAGGCTGACTTCAAACTCTTCATGTAACAGGGGATGATGATATTAAAAGTCTCATCCTCCTGCCTCTACTTTTCCCATGGTAAAATTACAAGGTGTGTGCCACTGCACCGGGTTTATTCAGTTCTAAGGACTGTCTCCAAGTCTTCTTCGCCAGCGCTAGGCAAACCTGGGGACCAACTCAGCTGCGCTTGCGGCCTTCTCTTTCTCTCTTCTGTTTTGATTTTGAGGCAGGCTCTCTGTAGCTGATCTGGGCTGGAACTCACACTGTAGCCTAAAGTGGTTTTACACTTGTAGCTGGCCTCCTGCCTCAGCCTTCTGAATGTTGGGATCAGAGGTGAGCTCCACTACCAGTCTCAGCCCTACAGGTGCTTCCTTACAAGGTAAGGCCAAGTCCACTGCTGCCCTCACCAGCAGACCCCTGGTGTGTGTGTGTGTGTGTGTGTGTGTGTGTGTGTGTGTGTGTGTGACA